GTGGAAGTAGCTTGTGCATCTGTCCCCCTTGATACTCCATTGAATTCTTGCTTTTTGTTGATAGAAAGATAGCTCACAATTCAAAAGTTTACTATAAGTAGACAAGCAACTTTTTTCTTGGCATATAAGAGCAGAATTAAAAGGGTCATCCTGTAATTTTTTTTGAGTATCTTCCAAAGCATGTTGAGCTCTTAAAACCTGTTCACTGATATTTGCATAATGCTTCCTGTTGAGTTCCTTTAGAGCACTCCTTAGAAGTTTAAGTTTAGATATGACTGAATACATTCTGAAACCAACTATCTGAGTTTGCCATATTGAATTCACTGTAGGCAAGTAATTGTCATGAGTTGTCCACATTTAAAAAAACTTAAATGGCTTTTTTCCTCTATCTTTCTCTTCATAAACTGAGACCAAAGCAGGTGAGTGATCTGAAAAATTTGGAGATAAGAATTCAACATGACTAGAAATATGCCTTTGAATCCAGGCTTCATTCACTAGGGCTCTGTCCAATCTGCACCAGACCCTAGTATCTTGATCTTGCTTATTACTCCAAGTAAAAAAATTACCTAGAGTTTTCATATGTAAAAGCTGGCAATCCTCAATGAAAGACCTGAAGTCTTTTGTGTCTGTATCAGTGAGAGTTACACCTCCAATTTTTTCTTCATCATTTACCATAGTATTGAAATCTCCACAGAGAAGCCATGAAGAATTCCCAGCAGTTTGCTTGATTTGAAGAAGTTCTGTCCATAATTCTCTCCTACTGCCCTGATGGTTGGAACCATATACAGAAGAAATAATGCAGTCTACCCTACCATCCACAGACTTAACAGTACAAGTAATATGCTGTGAAGAAATGTGATCAATTTGGATATTAAGAATGTCAGGATCCCATAGAAGTAAAATCCTGGCTTTGCCATTATTTGGTGCATTAGAAATCCATTTCCATTTACCAGCAATCTTCTTTGCTACTGCTGGTATGTTAGCCTCCTTAATTTTTGTTTCAAGTAAAGCAATGAAAGAAAGATGAAACTGAAAAATATGCTGTTTAGTCAGATGCTGCTTAGGGGATTTATTTAGTCCCCTTACATTCCAAAAGGAGAAATTCATTTCAATCTAGCTTTACTCCCTCTGTCCAATGTGGAGGGATCCAAATCACTTATTTTTGCTGCCAAAGAAGAGAAAGAGTTACTAGAGATGAGACTGCTATTATTCCTTCCCTTTTGTATTTGTGTCCATGAAACCTCAGGATGTACTTCTTCTCTTTTTTCAGTGTTTGCTCCTGAAACATGCACAACATGCACATGTTTTTTAGTCTGTGAACTATGCACAACATGAACAGGAATTCCTTCAATTGAGAATAAAGATAATCCTTCTCTCTCTATTTGACCTTCTTGCATTTGATTATCAATATATTCAGAACATTTCCCAGCTATGTGCACATTGGGCACATTTTGAGTATTCACAGGAATCTTTTCAGATTGCTTCAACTCAGATTGGTTTGACCCCTTAGAGATATGGTCCTTACCATGAACAGACTTCATGAAAACAGTATTCACAGGATTTGTAGAGCCTGCATTTGCCAAAGTATTTAGGTCCCCCTGAACATTTTCCTTTGTTCCAGGATTTTTGGGAACCCATTTCTGAGTTCTGACCTGTTTTCTACAAGACTTAGCATCATGTCCCAATTGTTTACAATAATCACACCATTTAGGCTTCCATTCATAATGCACTCTTTGATTAATCATCTTGTCATTCGGCCCTTGTATTGAAATATGATCTGGCAATGTTGAAGGCATTTTCACTTCCACAAGCACCCTAGCATATGATAGCCTCTGTCTATTGGCAGTGAGCTTATCTGTGGCTATTGGTTTACCGATTACACTTGCTATTTTGCTCAAACACTTAGCATTCCACAAGTTCAACCTTAATCCTGGCAGTTTACCGATTACACTTGCTATTTTGCTCAAACACTTAGCATTCCACAAGTTCAACCTTAATCCTGGCAGTTGAATCCATATGGGATAGGTATTTTCAAAACTCTTTTCTATTTCTTCTTCGATTGTCCAGTATTTAAGGAGAATTGGTCTTGATCCAAAGAACCAAGGGCCATTTTCCATAATATCATTCATTTCTTCCTTGGAATTAAATCTGAACAGGAAAAGTCCTGACTTAAGAAGAAGAATTTCTGGATTAGCCAGGGGAGACCAAGCTTTCTTGATGAAATTTTCCATATCCTTAAATTTGGCATTAATCCCTAATACCTGACCAATGAGAGATAATTTCCATATGGATTCTCCTTCTTTCCATTCCTCTTCTTCAAAAATTACAGAATCTTTAGAGTTAGGGGGAATAAAATCCAAAGCCATGCCATTACTTATCTTTCTATTATCAGCAAAGAAACTGATCCAGCTCTTTTTCTCATTTTTAACAGGATCCAGAAATTGCTCAGACTGTGAAGGATTTAAAGGAGGGAAATCATCATTTTCTTTAGTACTATCCTTATCAAGATTCTTCAATTCAGTCAAATCCACAGCAGGATTCAAAATATCAGAGTCTTCTTTTTCATTCAAAGTACGTGAATTCAAAGATTCTACCTCCAAGACTTCATCATCAGCCCAAGATCCACTCAAATTCTTTAAAGATTTAGAAGAAAGTATTGATTTACAGGGCAGGGAAGCAAACCTCTGAGAAGATCCTTGTGACATCTCCGCCATGGCCTTCATCGTTCTTTCTCCCATTCTTGAATCAAGATAGGTCAGGGAAGCAAGCCTCTGAGCAGATCCTTGTGATTTAGACAACTCCTCCATAGATTTTATCGTTCTTACTCCCCTTCCTGAATCAAGAACATCAGGAACAGAATTCAGAAGATCCGCCATTAGAATCATCGTTCTTACTCCCCTTCCTGAATCAAGAACATCAGGAACAGAATTCAGAAGATCCGCCATTAGAATCTTCTTTTTCTCACCCCTAGGTCCCGTAGATCCCATCAGCTCCGATTCAGATGAGACATATCCATCTTCAGCAAAATCGGAATCATCAGGATTCACAGGAGTAATCAAGCTTGAATTTGAAGATCTCAAACTAATTTCCATGATTTTTTTTCCTTTTTTCTTTTTGGTTTTCGCCATCTCAAATCCAGGCGGGGGCGCAAGTTAGCAGGCAAAAAATCGCCTGCTAACGTGCACCAAGGAGAAACCGCCAAAAAATCTGTTTTACAGTATTTTAAATGAGCACTCTCTCACTTACACTTTGCACCTACTTACACACCACTTTCACTCTTTCAATCTCTTCACATTTAAATTCTTTGCAAACTGATGTTAATTTTTTAATTTCATGTTTTTTATTTTAAGTTTTGACACATTTGGATGAGTTTTATAATTTTAAACTTTTTAGGGTCTTTTCTGCAATTTTAAAACTTTTTATGGTTTTTTTGCAATAATTCATGTATTATAATATGTTATCTACTTGTAATTTCTTTATCTTAACAAACTAATATCATTTTTATGTTTTATATATTTTATTAATATTAGTTTTTTTAAATTGTTAAGCTAAACATGGTTCACATAGGATTAGGATAAGATATGATTATGATTAGGATAGATTAAGATATAAATAAAATATTCAAAATAGTGAAGGGTAATATTGACCATTGAAAATTAGAATTTGATTATAGATAAGGCAGTTCAAACTATAAAGGGGTATATTTGTCTAAAAAAGATTTTCCGAACTCGTGCTTTTAAAGTGAGTATATGATATGATGTCCCTCAAAACGTTGAAATATCTATTGGATCCACTAAGTCTTATATCTTGCTAAGCAAGTCTTGATTGGAGTGAATAATTTGGAAAATTTATAAGTTTTAGGGGACCTAATCGCAATTCTGATGATTTGGACTGATTTCGAAACAACTTATTAGTATTGAGGCACATAATAGGAATTTCAATGATTTGAGGACTAGTTCCAGCTATTAAAATGTTGAGGGACTAATATCACAAAAGTCGTTTTTAGAGTAGCAGAGAATTCATCCTTCACTGTGTTGGAATCATTTAAGAGCTGAGGAAAGTCGCAGGATTAATTTTTACTGTTTACTGCACAACTGCAACCTTTCTTTTTACTGAAACTGAGAATATCATCCTCTTGAATGCGTATAATTCCTTTGTTCTTCTCATTTTTCAGTCCGTGTTTCGAATCACTCCCTCTCTCTTCTTTAGTCATTTACAGATGAGAGAGGACAATAGTTCTCACATCTTTATGTATGTCAGTAAAATATTAGCAATTTTGATAAATGCAAGGACTGTCACCAGTATTAGATAACCGTTTAGACTTCGATGCCCAATTAATCTCCTCGCCACTATGAACCTTGTCCTTGTACCTTTTAATGCCAAAAACTTATAAATCTTATAAATTTCAGCGTGATAGTTGACTTAGCAAATTTCTCCAAGCTCCTAAATATTACCCCATCTGGTAAATACCTTAAAATTGTTATTGCGGTTGAAATCCAAGACTGTACAAACCTTAATGCATAAAGAGCATGTTTGGAAAATGGTCAAATTGGCTTATAATTAAGTGATTTTGACATGTTTGACAAACGGCTTATTTTAGCTTATAAGCCACCAGAAAAGCTAGGGTAACCTAGCTTATTTTTTATGGTTTGTAAGCCATAAGGTTTGTCCGTGTAAAAGACCAATATATCACTTATCATTTTAGAAAATTCCATGCCCATTTTTCTCTCTCCAACCCTATAAGTTTATAATTAAGCTACCCATTTGCCAAACATTCCTATCAAAAATGGATCATAATCCACTATATTTACCAAATATTTTAGCTTATAATCCACTAGGCTTATAAGCTTAATACTTGAAGCTTAATACTAATTCGAATTTCCCATGCAACTATTAGGCGCATCACGAGAATAATATCTCAACGTTAGGATGGTGGCATTTAAAAGGCTAGCTTGACGTACCATTGGTTATTTTGCTCATGATCAGTTCTCTAGATCAAAGCGTGCACGCTTTTGCCCACAAAAGTCGCAATTCAAGCAACAAAACGAGAAGCCCGCCAACAAAGCAGTTAGATGCACTTTGCAGCTGTATTCACCTCTCTCTTCCTCTCATCCCTATAAAGCCGACTGCTTCTCCTTCTGCATCCTATCATATATAAGGACAGAAATCGATATACAGAGAGTATAATGGCAGCTGGCTACAATATTCCAAGGTCACTGCAACTACATTCAGTACAATGTGCTGCGTGTATACTGTTGCTAATTACTGCAATCGGCATAGGTGAAGGTTCTGAACTCGCCACAGACTACTACAAGTACTCGTGCCCCGGCTTAGAGGCCATTGTGAAGGATTCTCTTCTTCCTATCTTCTTCACCGATCCCCGATCCCCGGCCGGGTTCCTACGACTCCTCTTCCATGATTGCCAAGTTCAGGTACCAGTTAAGCTTTTCACCAACTCTCATTTTTGAAAGACAGGTTCTTAAGCTTGAACATTTTCTGTGGGGTAAATTACTCTCTCAACTATAGATGTTATTATACCTCATTTGGGTACGTTGGGTGATAAGAAGATGGAAAGAGTTCAGGTGGATATCCAAATGGATGTATGTGGTATTAATTGCTTCGGTGGAGAAATATTTCATTATGTATTAATTATTCAAATGTGCAAGCTAGACGTAAGCTCAGATGTTAGGATAAACAAACAGGGTAACGTTTGTTTATGCTTAGCATATGTTCACAAATGGCTTATAAACCACTTAGCTTATAATCCAAAAAAAAGCTTTATAGGGATGGAAGAGCACAGGAACTATCAGGGGGTTAGTCACATTCACTTGTGGTAGGCTGTGTGTTCTAGCTACCTCAAATTTGGCAAATACTTTGTCCTTTTAAATCCTTGGTATTGTCCTTGGTTGGAACTTAGCATATGTTCTACACTAATTGCTTAAATCCTTATAGAGCAATTCAATTTTTATATATTAATATTTATTTCCATTTTTTTTATTTTTTTGCATGCTGTGTACCTTTGTCGTGATAAAAAAAAGTACATGCTAATTACTCTGCGAATCCCAGCGCTCTCCCTTGAACGTTGAGCATCTCATTCGGACAGATATTTGAGTTATTTGTGTGACCTGACAGTAGAAAGTAATCAAATGAGGATCCAAGTTGATGCATGTTGAGGTTGAGCTTATGATACAAGTAAATGTTTGCCTAATTCTTTTCAGGGTTGTGATGCATCTATCCTCCTAGAAACTGACTACAACAAAGGGATCACTTCAGAGTTGTTATCCTCCAGAAACTTTGGAATCAGAAACATAGACTCAATTGCAAAGATAAAGTCTATAGTTGAGGAGTTCTGTCCAGGCCAAGTCTCTTGTGCTGATATAATAGCTCTGGCAGCAAGAGAGGCAGTAGCCTACAGCGGTGGTCCCAAAATCGTGATTCCTCTTGGCCGGAAGGACTCGACGATGGGCAGCAATCTGCGTGCCGACGATGAGCTTCCTTCCGCAAGCACAGGAGTTGATGATGCAGTGAGGATATTCATGGGCAGGGAGATGAGTATTGAGGAGACAGTGGCACTATTGGGTAAGCACTTGTTAATTAGTCTTAATTTGTTATAGATTTGAATCTCTCTATAGTGCCATCTTGATAGGGAAATCGTCACGTTTTCAATCATAATCATTTAATGATACTTGTATGTTTGTGATTTATTATATCCCGAAAAAAACAATCCTTGTGAATTGGACGTATTTTGCCCTTTTGCAATAATATTGGTTTAGTAATTTTTATTGCATAACCTACCCCATTTAGTAGGCATTGGCTAAATTTGATTTAAATTTATTAGGGATAAACATAAGTTTCTAAAATAAGTCGGACCTCTGTAATTTTTTTATATCAAATACGTAAATAATTTTGTGGTATTTGATAAGCTATATTACATCTCATATGCTTACTGGAAAATTTTCCCCTCATTAACATTTGTATCCAAGATAAGCCTTGGCCATAATTCAAATGCTTTTTAGTAATAGCCATAAATTCAATTGTGTCAGTAACTTCAGTGACATGTGAATGTACTATCTCAAAGATAAGATTGCAGTTATGTGATGAGCAAAATCATGTAATTAGAGCATCATCCAGGTAAATAAAAGTCTGCAAATTATTATTAGATTTTCACTTTACAGAATATATTAAATGCTTCTGCAAAATCGTAATCAATATAAATATTTATGTGGGGCAAAAGTTGTTCTGTGGTAAGGTACCAAGGGTCATTTTTCCATAATTAGCTCATATATACATCAAAATCACATTGGCATGTAGGGGGTACTTGTTTGTTGGATAAGAGTGAGAGTTGAAGTCCCAAAATAGAGCATTTTTAACCATTTGAGATTTTGTTTCGATTAGAGTAAGTATAAAACAAGAGAAGTGATTTTCACCAAATAGGAGAAAGAACATTTCATTTTAAAAAATCTCTTTCTCCAAAAACCCTAAAATAAAAAAGAAAGAAAAACAATTAATACAAATAAAATAAAAGTTGCTACAAATACCCATCCTTTTCGTCCCACAGAAAACAAACAAAATTTTACAGTTTCATCCTCTCTAGCTCTTAGCATGATTTGACCTCGTAGCTTATAATAGAAACTAAAAAATATCCAATAAAAGATTGCATATTGAGTCCAACTTCCTCAATTCATTGCATTGGTTGCGACAATCAAAGGGTAGGTAGCAGTAGCTATACATCACCAGGACCCTCATACAAAAACATGTGATGTCCTCTGATGCTGCACGCAAGTGAACAGAAAACATGTAATAATTTTTCTGTACATGACTCAGTTTGATTTATTTTCAGGAGCCCACACTCTTGGGGTTGGTCACTGCATCAGCATAGCTCACAGGCTCTACAACTCAAATGTGAATCACAGAGAGAGGATAGACTCAGTATTTGAAGCATATCTAAGGCTCAACTGTCCCACTGAAGTGCCCATAACAAATTACACTTTCATAGTTAGTGATCTCACTTCTTTGATCTTTGATAACCAGTACTACCGAGATGTTATGAGTGGCCGAGGGCTCTTCAGCATCGATTCTGACATGTCGATGGATCCACGAACGGTGCCAATTGTGAGGCGGTTTGCTGAGGATCAGGCTTATTTCTTTCAGGTATTTTCATCGGCATTTGTTAAGCTCTCATCGGCAGTGAATCCTGAAGGTGGGGAGATCAGGAGAGAGTGCCGCAGGATTAACTGACATCAGCAATCGGGCGATAGATTACTAATTTATTGACTATACTTAACTTTAGAACTGTGACTTGAATCATTATGTAGTGGTGAAGTTATGTATACTTGATGTATTACAAATATGTGGATATATAGCTGAAGCCATTTTCGTATTATAAAGGGCTCCAACTGTCGATAATTATTTATTTATTATGAATATTCCTCGATTTTATCTATTCTTTTCAATTCGGAGAAGGATACAAATTATAAATTATGGATTCTATCAGATTAAAATTTTACTCCTTCAAAATTGTAAAAAAGTTTGTTGGAAGTACCCATTAATTCACGCAATTAATGCAAGAAGTGTTGGATATAATTTTTTAAAATAAATTTATGTGGGCCTCATGACCATGACCTTAGCCTAACATCATTTGAAAAATGAAACCTCACATGGGCGGCTAAAATGCAGGTGATAATTTTTTTCAAAAGGCGTGGGGCCCACCGAAGAAAAATTAGGACGTGGGCTCCACATGCATAGTAAAATATATTATTTTATTAATGCATAGTATTTTTTCAAACACTATAAATAGACCTCAAATCCTTAAGGAAATTTCATTCCAAAAACAACAATAAATATATACAAATATAGATTGTAAAATAGCTGGTGCTTATAGGAATTTTGCCTGATAGATCGAGGAGATCTTTTGCATGATAGATCGAAGAGATCTTTTGCCTGATAGATCGAAGAGATCTTTGCCTTATAGATCGAGAAGATCTTGACAGTACTGGGTCGGTGCACACCAGAGTACTGGACTGCTGTTCCTGGAAATAATTTGGCCTTGGGATCCTTACACCGGAGTAGGCCAAATAATGCTTTAAGCACAGCGTTTTACAAACGCACAGCAGCTGAGTTAAAAAATTTTAAATTAATGCACTTCAATTTTTATTCAGTTTTTACTGTTATATATCTGTATTATTCCAGATTTAACCACAAGCGCCAACAATCTTAAAGCATTATCTGATCTACCATGGATCCTGCGAGGACTCTTGGAGTGGACTGTCTTAAGTTAGAAAATTTTGACGGTTCTAACTTCAACGCATGGCGTCGGAAAGTAATCTTCGGGATGCAACTCTTGAAAATCTACTATGTGGTTTTTGAGGAAAAGCCCGACTCTGAAGAAGACTCTGAAGCTGAAGCTTCTTGGGCTAGAGATGATCACTTCTGCAGGAGTTATCTCCTTAACTGTCTGGCCGATCATCTAGCAGATGCTTACACCAACAAGCCCTCTGCAAAGGAAATCTGGAATGCTCTGGAGGACCAGTATAAGGATGAGGAGAAACTGTCCAAATCTCACCTCATTGATAAATTCCTGGACTTGAAGTTCGAAGATGACACTGAGGTTTTGCCTCAAGCCAAAGAGCTTGAAAAGCTTGTTATGAAGCTGAAGGATGAAAAGATCAGTCTTTGTCAAACCTTTATTTCTGGTGCAATTGTCAACAAGCTTTCTCCATCTTGGATGTCATTCTCCACTGACATTCGAAGAAGGAAAAGGCAAGTGATTCTATCTGATTTGAAGAGGTTCATTCGGATCGAGGACGAGACTCGAACTCACACGAAAACTGAGCTCCTTGCTAAGCAGAAGGCGTCTGCTAACATGGTGGCTGCTAACTCTGAAAAGAGTAATAATTCATCTTTTAAGAAGAAGAAGTCTTTTAACAGAAAGAAGAATCAGAATCCGAAGAACCTGAACGTCCAGAAGAAGGAGTTCAAGAATAGCAGCAAATGCTTCAACTGTGGAAAGCAAGGACATTTTGCCAAATACTGCAAAGCACCAAAGAAGGAAACAACGTACAATGTCAATCAAGTTGATGATTGTATGGCTATGCTCTTCCAGGTAACAACTCCAAGCAACATCTCTAGTTGGTGGTTAGATACGGGTGCTACTTGTCATGTATGCTCCAATAGACATATGTTCTCTTCTTATGTTGCTACCAAAGAGAACGTATCAATGGCTGATCGTTCTGTGGTTCCTGTTCCCAAAGAGAACGTATCAATGGCTGATCGTTCTGTGGTTCCTGTTCTTGGAACTGGGACTGTGGTGTTGACTCTTTCTTCAGGAAAGACTCTCACATTGAAGGATGTGAAACATGTTCCCTCAATTGCCAAAAACTTAGTCTCTGAAAGCATGCTGTGTGATGCAGGCATGAGGCTGGATTTCTAAGAAGGAAAGGCTGTATTATCCTTCAAGAAAATGTATTTTGACAATGCATATCGTACTGATGGCATGTATAAAATCAGTACGAGTGCACCCAACCCCGTTGTAAATAAAGTATCCTCTTCTACTTACTTCTCTGTGTTATGGCACAATAGGCTGGGACATGTAAATTATAGAAAATTATCCAGCATGGAGAAGTTAGGATTACTTCCAAAATGTAGGGGTAACAAACCTGAGAAGTGTGAAGTTTGCGCGCAAGCAAAGTTGACGAGGAAACTATTTTTAAGTGTCACGAGGAGTACCAAACTCTTGGATCTGATTCATTCAGATACTTGTGACTTCAAGAGCTTCGTCACTCGTGGAGGCAATAAGTACTTCATCACCTTCATCGACGATCATTCTCGCTTCTGCCACGTTTACCTGCTGAAATCTAAAGATGAAGCCTTCAGCAAATTTGTCGAGTTTCGGACTCGAGTGGAGAAGCAGCTTGGACTTCAGATGAAAAGACTCAGGAGCGACAGAGAAGGAGGGTACCGATCTAAGGAATCGGAAGCATACTTCAAGGAGCATGGAATCATTGCAGAAACTACTGCTCCGTATCGATCTAAGGAATCGGAAGCATACTTCAAGGAGCATGGAATCATTGCAGAAACTACTGCTCCGTATTCTTCGCAATCTAATGGGATTGCAGAAAGAAAGAATCGCACATTGACCGAGATGGTGAATTCGATGCTAATCAGGGATTGCAGAAAGAAAGAATCGCACATTGACCGAGATGGTGAATTCGATGCTAATCACATCTGGTCTACCTACCTGCTATTGGGGAGATGCTTTGCTGATGGCAAATTGGATTCTGAACAGAGTACCCTATTCCAAAACTGATAGTACTCCTCATCAGTTAAGGTTGGGATACCCAGATTCTTTGGATAGCCTCAAAGTGTGGGGGTGTCTTGCATACGTTCGAATTCCAGATATCAGAAGACCTAAGCTCGGGCCAAAGGCAAACAGATGTGTGTTTCTTGGCTTTGCTGGAGATAGCAATGCGTACAGGTTCCTGGACCTTGGAACCAACACCATCATTGAAGCTCAAGATGCAGAATTCTTTGAGGATAAATTTATCAAACATAAAGGCTTATTGCTCAAAGATGTAGCAGAGAATGTTAGTACATCAGATGCACAAGAGGAGCCAGTCAATGATGAAGGAGTTATCGAACCATCTTCCAAACGCATCAGAAGACAAAAAGACTTTGGAGATGACTTCATCACCTATAATATGGAAGGAGATCCATAGACTTTTCAAGAAGCAATGCAGTCAACAGACGTTCTTCTGTGGAAAGAAGCTATAGATGATGAGATGGATTCATTGATCCAAAATCATACTTGGGAGCTGGTGGATGTACCTGAAGGTGCAAGGCCTATCAGTTGCAAGTGGATCTTCAAGAAGAAGCTCCGTCCTGATGGTACTATTGAAAAGTACAAAGCAAGACTGGTGGCGAAAGGATTCTTTCAGAAAGAAGGTATAGACTTCTTTGATATTTATGCACCAGTTTATAGGATCACTACCATCAGAGTGCTTATCGAATGGGCGGCGATTAAAAGGTTCGTCATACATCAGATGGATGTGAAGACTGCCTTTCTCAATGGAGATCTCATCAGATGGATGTGAAGACTGCCTTTCTCAATGGAGATCTCACAGAAGAGATCTACATGGAGAAACCAGAAGGACTTGATGCTCCAGCTGGTAAGGTTTGTAAACTTGTTAAGTCTTTATATGGACTTAAGCAGGCACCAAAACTCTGGCATGATAAGTTCGATGGGGTTGTTCGCAGCAATGGGTATCAAGTTAGTGAATCTGACAAGTGTCTATACATCAAGGTCGCTGAAAGAAAGGTGGTGGTTATTTGCCTTTATGTGGATGGTATGCTCATCATCGGGAGTGATTTGAAGATAGTAACATCTACCAAGAAATTTCTCTCGGCACAGTTCAGCATGAAGGACCTTGGAGCTGCGGAAGCGATTCTCGGAATTAAAATCATATACTCTGAAGAGGGTATTGGATTGTCTCAATCTCATTATGTCGAGAGCATGCTAAAGAAGTATGGCGACTACGACCTGCCAGAACTGTCAGTGCCATATGATTATAACAAGAAGCTTCGATCGAACACTGGAAAACCAGTAGAGCAGCTGAGGTACTCAAAGATCATTAGGAGTCTTATGTATGTGATGAGCTGCACAAGGCCAGACATAGATAGGAATGCTTAGTAGATTCACAAGTAATCCTGGAAAGCTTCATTGGGATGCTGTCCAGAGATTGATGAGATACTTGAAAGGAACTACAAGTTTGGGCCTATTCTACACTGGATATCCAGGTGTAATCGAAGGCTATTCAGATGCGAGCTGGTGCTCAGAACCAGATGAGTGCAGATCTACTGGAGGATTTGTCTTCACTATGGGTAGAGCTGCTATCTCGTGGAAGTCTAAAAAGCAGACAATGATTGCACAGTCATCGATGGAATCTGAGTTCTTCGCACTCTGTGTTGCAGGAGATGAAGCTGAGTGGCTCAATTATATTCTCCGAGACCTTCCATTGACAGGATTACAAGGCACAATTACTATCTATTATGATAATCAAGCGACGAGTGTTGTGGCAGCGAACTCGTTGTTCAATGGAAAGAAGCGGACCATTCGTCTGAAGCATGACTATTTGAGAGAGCTCATTTGTCAAGGAGCCATCTCTGTGATTGACGTCCGATCTTCAGAGAATGTGGCTGATCCTTTGACTAAGGGTCTAAAAAAGGACATAGTCGAAAGGACGTCTGCTGGAATGAGTCTCAAAGTTTTGTAAGTCTTACAAATACTTACCATGTTTATTAAGTTATTAGTTCAAAGCTTATGCTACTAATAATAAAATAATTGGTTCAAAAGTCAAGTAAGATTTACAAAGTTTGGTGAGTCTTACAAATACTTACCATT